CTGTATTCAGAGTATATAGATATGCATAGAGCATCTCTGGAAAGATACACAAGAAATTGGCAACCAGTGACTGTCTCCAGGGACAAGAAGTGAATAGTTGAAGGTCAGGAGTGAGAAACTGACAGGTTTTTTTTTTTTTACTGTATTTCCTTTTCTTCTTTACGATTTTATTCTAAAATTAGATTTTAAAAGTCATCTGATCGAAGGAGGGAAAACACTAAATCATAACAAATACACACGGCCGCCATTCTTTCTCCCTCCCCCTCTTTCCAGAACCCTGGCGCACTGTCAGGACTGCACCACTCACTCCCCTTCCGCTGCGCTGTGCCGGGCGCCGGCTAGACACAGACCGTGTCTACAAGACGGACTGCAGTGCAGCGCCGCTCTCCCTCCCACTGATGCTCATCAGCGCAAAGACGCAAATAAAGACAGCGGTACGCAACAGAAGCAGGGAGGTGGCAGGCCGTTTTGTGGACAGGAAAAGTGCTTAACACACAGGATGCATCAGAGAAGAAAGCTCACTGCATCAGCTGCAGTGAGCGGTGTGGAGAAGCACGGAGGACTAAGCTACTCAGAGGTTCTCCTGGGAGAGCTGGATAAACACTCATCACGCTCACTCCTGTGCACCATCTCACACACGTCAAGTTGAGGAAATAAATGCATTTCACTAGCACCTATCTGCAATCGTCACGGCGTACGATTTGAATTCCCCACATTGTGGAGGCGAAAGGGCGGCTTTCCAGAGCATCTCCCCAAATGTCCGGGGATTGTTTTAAGTGGGGTGAGTGCTTCAGGGTCCCTTAGGAAGCATGGGTTTTAAACAGTTTAGAAATTCAGGTAAATGCCACGAGAGTTCCCGTTTCAAGCAAATCATGTTCCCAAGAAACCGCAGTATAAATGTTCGTCACTAGAAAATTGAAGTGATGCTTGCCTACTGTTGGATCACCGTCAGACACCAAAATGATGAGTGACACTGCGTTGGGGTCCAACAGTCCCAAGTTGTTGGCTTCATTCAAAATAAAGATGGCCCGCAGGAGGGCTTCGTTGATATTTGTGCCTGTGAACGCAACAGAGCGTGCCATTCTGTTAGATACTCTTACTTTCCACCCAAACCATCACATCTTGGGATCAGATTCATCTGTCTGGTGATGACTCATGCATAATTTATTTATTCAGCACCCAAATTATTCCATTGCTTTCCAAGGGATACAAACTTTGGTCAAGATTCCCCAGGGGAGTAAAATCCTCACTTTGTAGTAAACGCTTCCCTTAGAGAGGCATGAACCCTTTCAAAGCACGTTGACATCGACATGTCGTTAACCACCAAACTGAAGGGACCGATGCACTTGGACACTGTTCTGTAGTCAGTTACATGTTAGGCCATGCGAGCCATAAAAGGCTAGTGCCACCTCCCGACACCCCTTTTTGAGGATGGAACGGTAACAGCGTGTGTGGGATGGGTTCTATGTTGTGCTTCCACCATGAATTTAGTACTCCTCACGGAACGATAAAGGTATTATTTAAGGCAGACCATGGCAGGCTGGGCACAGACCACTGCAGGAGGGAAGAATATTTCCTACGTGAACTGAGGTTTGAATCTAATGGAATTTGCTCCCTGGGCTTCAGGCTGAACCCCCTCACCTCCACTGGGCTGGATTTTCTCAATATAATTCTTGGCGTCCGCAATCTGTGTTTTTGTAGCAGAGACTAAATCATTTCTCCAGGTTCGAACGTTGTGGTTGAAATCAACCACGGAGAACTGGTCTTCAGCACGTAGGTCATCCAATATGGTCTTCATGGCTTCCACTGTCTATTTAAAAAGAGGATGGAAGTAAGTTCAGGTGTGTCTTTTTTCTTTTTTAGATTCTGTATAAGTGATATCATAGGAATGTTTGTCTTCCTCTGTCTCACTTACCTCACTCAGTATGACAATCTCTAGGTCCATCCATGTTGCTGCAAATGGCATGATTTCATTCTTTTGTACCCCAGAAACTAACATAACATTGTAAATCAACTACACTTCAATTAAAAGAAAGAATGGAAAAGATTCTTAATACATAAGCTTTAAGCCTAAGAAGAAACGAGGAGGACCAATCATTCATCCTAGTCATTTTCAAGGTGCAATTCTCCTAGGAAACATCTTGAACCCACCTCAGTAAACACAGGTCTGCCTCTCACGGATCCTGAGCATGTTTTGTCTGCATTTTGATATTTAAACTTTCACCATCTCATTTCGTTATGCGTGACCAGTTTCATGGGCTCATTTTAAGTTCAGGATTATGAGCCTCAGAGCCAATCCGAGCAGCATTTGAACGAACTGGTCACATCTCCCTCTTAATACAACTTGCTCGTTATCTTCCAGAACCTTGGACTGTCTTGGTTTTTTCCCCTCTGACACTCACTGACTGCTTTTCTTAATCTCCTTTGCTGGTTCTTCCCCTTCTCCCCAAACTATTCTAATTACTGGAAGAGCGTAGGGTTCACTCTTGGTTCTCATCTCTAATTCCACTTGCTCCTCGCTGCTCTCATCTGGGCTCACTGCTGTAAGTACCTTCTACATGCTGGTGGCTCCACCACGTACAGCTCGATATCACCCTTTTGAACACTGGACTGGACGCGTCCACTTGGGTGTGTAATAGTCGTCTGAACTTCAGTGATAAACCAAATGCCTGACACATAGTAGGTGCTTAGTAAACATTTGTTAAACGAAAGAAGGAAGGAAGAAAGGAGGGAGGGAGGGCAAGAAGGAAGGAGTGAATAAACTGTTGTATTAGCGCAGTGACTCTCAACTGAGAGCAATTACCTCCCTGCAATGTCTGAAGACAGTTTTGATCGTCATGACTGGGAGGGTGGGTGCTACTGGCATCTAGTGGATAGAGGTCAGGGATGCTGCTAAACATCCGTGTGTGGAAGCTAGAGCTCAGTGGTAGAGCGCATTACAAGGTCCTGGGTTCAATTCCCAGTACCGCCATTAACAAAAACAAACAAACAAACATCCTACAATGCACAATGTGGCCCTCACAATAAAGGACCAGCCAGCCTAAAATGTCAGTAATGCCCCGGTGGGAACCCTAGCATTTGGGTGTAAGCACAGTGGGCAGGGCCACGTTCTTCCCAGCTGTTGGATCCCAGAACAGTAGTGAACACTTGGATGGTCAGAATTGGTTGTTGAATGAGTGAATGGTTCGTTGGTTGTTCAAATTGGTTGAATGGATGGATCCAACCATCAATGAATGGATGAAATGTCCTTGTTGGTTTAGAATCACATCTATACCGTTAACACGGAGTGAGCCTACGTTAAACTCCAAACGGGAAGCATGAGACAGGATGGTCCCTCTCAACGAATTACAATATGATTTAGAAAAAATGCACGTAACTGTTTCAAAGTTACTCATGAACAACGGCAAGACACCAGAGTAGAATGTTATGCGGGAGAACTGAAAGAATATTAAGGCAGAAGAGTGAGCAGAGTGAGAAGAGGTTATACTGAGATGATATCTTTCAAAAAGGTGAGGGTTGAGTAAATCTCTGCTCCTCGTAAGCCACGCGGTCCGTGTAACCTTGCCAGCAGCCTGAGCTAAGACAAGCCCTAGGCGGGAGGTGCACTGAACAGCTGTAGTGTCAGGAGGAGGTCGAGGAAAGTCGGCAGCCCATGACCCGCTGTCAACCAGGGGGTACTTGCCTGTTTCATTTTCACTCCCCACATCGAGCCACTAACGTCGATGACAAAGAGGATGTTCTTGGGAATTGGGTCCATGTTTTCAGGAGCAAAGAAGTGGACAAAATATCCATTAAATACCTGAAAACCAGAAACTATCTGTGAGCCAAACCATTGCATATGTTTGGTATGCAGGAAGATGAGGGTCTGGGGATGGAGAGAGGAGGCGACACATGGTGAGCAGAAGGCGTGACGGTCGGTCGTAAGGAAGAGAACAGAGGTTTGGGGTCCACCCGTCCCTCCCTTCTCCTTCCTGCTCCTTCCCTAGGAAGCTCCGAGCCTTCTCAGCAGTTCAACCCCCAGGGTGTCTCACTCCAGTCCCCTCCGCTCCACCCAGTCTCCGCTGAGAGCCTCCACTCCAGGCGCCCTGCGAACCAACAGCGAATCAGGAGGAGCCCCTGCTCTCATGAGGCTCATGAGCAAGTGGAGGATCCAGACAAATACAGAGGCAATTTTCCAGCCCAGGGAAAATTCCAGCAAAATAAAATGCTCCGAGAACACCCAGTGGAGGTGCGTCTACCTCAGAAGAGGGGCGGGGTCCTTTCCCAAGGAAATGGCATCTGCGCTGGACTTGAGTGTGAGTTTGGAGACAGCGCGCCAGCATGGGGGCTGGGGGTGCGGCGGGGAGGACACTTCCAGACTGTGTAGCCCTGGGGCATCCCTAGGTCGCCGTAAGTGGTTCAGTGCGATGAATGCCGGAATTCAAGGCTTCAGGGCACAGAAGCCACTGGGTAGATCATGAAGGACCTTCATCTGCACCCTAGGGAGTCTGGATTGTACTTGAAGTTGACAGGCAGTCCCTCGGGCTAGATCCCTGACCACCCTCTGTCTTCCCCTGATGAGTGGCTCACTTCATTCTCTTTCCATTGCCCTTTGGATGCTCCTACCAGGACGCGACAGTGTCCGGCTGCAGGCTGTGTGACTGGGGACACCCCCCGACCTCCCAGGCCCTGGAGAGAAGCACGGGCTTTTGGACACTCTCAAAGGGCTCCGACCTTAGCGCAGGGAAAGACAGACCCTCGTCTAAGACACGACACAAGAGGAAGGGGAAGCACTCAAGAACTCTCTCAAGGAACATAATCTCCGTGCCTTCTTTGATAGTCTGATTGCAAAGGGCCTTGGATGGTCATCTAAAATTCCCATTTTGTGATTTTGTATGGTTCTTCATTTGAGGCCTAGAAGTACCTTTCTGGGACCAAGGGCATGAGACCCAATGACCCTTATTCAGTTATCTTGACATAAAATGCTTGGTGACGCGTAGAGAAATATGATTTTAGTCCCACGTTGGCAGCCTTGACACTTGCATTGGCAGCTAGGAACACCCAGAGGCGGAGGGTGCAGGTTACTCAACGAGAAGTAGAGGTCTGGTTTCGGCAGGGTCTTCTCCTCAAGTCTGCTCTCACCTACCTGAAGTTCACCGACCTTCTCTTCTCTGTTCACATCGTACATCACCACCAGCTCTCCGTCTACCGCCGTCTCAGAGCAGTCGGGGCATTTTCTTTGTTGTGCTACCGTGGGCTTGAAGGTGACGTGTGCCTGGAAAGAAGAGTGGTGTGTGCGCGGGTCTCAGCCTCCCTCCCTCTCCAGGTGCCGGGCTGATGGCCGAGCCTTCTCACACACGCAGGAGAAGAGGTGTGGCCCCACGGCCCGGGGCCATTCAGCCCCTTCACTGATGGGGGCCCACCCAAGGGGTGCGAGTGGCGACTAACAGCCCAAGGTGCTGCTGGCCGGGTTTCAGTCCTTCATAAGAGAGTCAAAGAATTCCTCCCTCCCCCCAACGGTAGAAACGGCTACCAGCTCTAGAAAGAGTTGGTGAAAGGGTCTTGAGAGGACTCCGATCTTTCCGAAGGTGGTTATTATTGGCCATTAAGGGAGAGAGAATTAAGCTGAGCATCTCTTGCTGAGACGAATGAAAATCCACTCTGTATTATGTGAGAGCTGTCTTTTAGCTACTGCTCAAGCGGGTGACTTGGAGGAAATGAAGCTCCAAAGTGGACGGCCACTGGTCAAAATGCAATGGAACGATCGGTAGTTGTAGCCTGTACACCCCGTGGAAGACCCTAGACTTTGCTCAAGGGTCCCTGTTCCTTCCTATAGTCGCCTCAGCTCAGCACCTGGTCACTTTTCTATCCCCCAGAGAAGCAGCAGAACCCACGAGCCCGTGGCCACTTCAACTCTGTGACATGCAACGCTCATAGTACCTTCTGCTGTCCCTTAGATACGACCGGAACTCCATCAAAATGCCCATCAAAGGTGTCCAGAACATGAAGAAATCTCAGTCCCTGAGGCTCAATGATCCGCACATCTACCTAGAGGTGGGAAAGAAAATGACTCAAAGCATTAAAACATCTTTCAAGGGGTTTTGAACAAGAGGTACAACGACTAAGTCCTCCACTCTTCTTCTCATCTTTGAGATTTCTCAAAGAAGACCCAACATGGGTTCACGATCACTTCTGCACGCCCTTTACATTCTGTGGGATATGATGCATCTCACCATGGAGGCCAAAGACCCTCTGGGCAAATCAGTCCTCCCCTTCAATGTCTTCACTTCTCTGGGATTTAATTCCTTTTATTCTATTCTATTCTAACCTATCCTATCCTATTCATTTGTATTTATAAGAATGGAATGAAAATTTTACCATGATCCATTCATCTCCTTCCACCTTCTCCATCTATGAGCAATTCACAACCTGCCTGCTTCACCTCCTAGCTGCCAAATGGAGAGTAGGTTGAATTGTGCACTTCCCTGGGTTTCTTCCAGATCTGTCGTACACAGATGTTCATGTGATGTCACATGTCGAGCCAAGAAAAGTGAAGCTTAGTTCTTACGGCAAGAGGTGACAATTACAGCAAAGGCGAGTTCAAAATGGTAGACAGTGCGATGCCCCAGGCATTGCTCTCCTGAGGTGATGATAGTTGGGGTGCCACGTGGGGAACGTGGTGCAGAGGAAGACCACTGACTCAGCATTCACTGAGCTCCAACGACTTGCCAGCTATTTCCACAAGCTCGTCTCACTTATAACCAAGGCATGTACGTGTGCTGAGTACCTTTTTCACAGATGGGAAAACTGAGACTCAGGATAACCTGACGCATGTCAGAAGGCGAGGGTAATGGGTTGAATGGTGGCCCCCCTAAAAAATGTATGTCTAGATCAAATCCCTGCAACCTGTGGCCGCTACCTGATTTGGAAAAAGGGTCTTTGCAAATGCGATAAAGGACCTAGAGATGAGATCAACCTGTACTGCCCAGGGGGCCCTAAATCCAGTGACAAGTGTTCTTACAGGAGCAAGACAGAGAGAGACTTGAGACACTCAGGGGAGGAGGTGACGTGACCGGAGAGGCAGCGATTGGAGTGAAGTGGCCACGAGGCCACACATCAAGGAATGCTAGCAGCTTGCAGACACCAGAAGCAGCAAAAAACACTCTTCCCGAGAGCTTTCAGGACCGTGGCCCTGCCAGGTCCTTGCTTTCAGATTTCTTTCCTCTAGAGCCGCGAGAGGACACATTACTGCTGTTTTAAGCCACGCAGTGTGTGTGGTCCTTTGTCACCGCAGCCACGGGAAACCGAGACAGCTAAGAAGGAGAGGAGCCAGCATTGAAATCAGTAGAGAAGGGGTCTGGTTGACTCCAAACCCATAGTCTTTTCTGCACACCGCCCTGTCCTGCAGCGTTGAGTGGCATCGAACACCACAAAGAGTGGAGACAGACAGAGTACAGACTGGGGACAGGGGCCCCATGAGGGTGGCGTCACCGCACGCTCTGCACAAGATGCTCACCTGCATGTGTTTGGCCAGCCGTCCCGGGTGCAGGGGGAGCCTGTGTTCATAGGAGCCCAGCTTCCTCCACTTCACTTCCTGGTAATGAAGCTCAAACTGCACCTCTGATCCGGGGAGGACGTTCACTTCGGTTTTGAAGTTCTCCATGTCAAGAGCTCTGCTCCTAAAGATGTGAACCCCACGCCCCCCGTAAGTCATCACATGCAGAATCTATGCAGAGGGCGACGGGACCTCCCTGGGCTGTCAACCTGCTCAGAGGTGACTGCAGCTTCTAGGCAACTTTCATTCCACCAACCTGGAATTTCTCTCTCCTCCCCTACCTGATCTTTTTCTTCCAGAGCTTCTTACAGATTTGGGGGTCACCTGCAAAGAGCTACCAGTTATTGACCCCCTACTATGTGCCAGGAACTTGACACAGATCATTTCTATTACAGCAGCTCTGCAGGATGGATACCAATACCCTCATCCATCAGATGGTAAGCGACGTGGCTCACGAAGGGTAAGGAATCTTCTCTAGACCACGCAGCGAGTCGACTGTAAGGGCAGGACTCAAACCCAAGTTTAATCGACTCCAAAGACAGCTCGCATTTCTTCTACTGCTTGTGAGACTCATTCTAAGGGTTCTTTATATTTTTGAACGTCTTCAGAAAGAAGACATCTACTGTTTCATCAAATTGAATATGTATTTCCAGCATTAGGCCAGTTATGATTTCCAGCATGAAACCAGCATTATTCGTTATTTCCAGCATGAGGCCAGCATTAGTCCCACACACACCAAGTCCAATGTGATCGTCAATCTTGAGGTGTTGATGGTTTTAAAGAGAAAACTATCTGAGCACTGGGATAAACAATGAGTGACTTTTTAAAAAAATTAAATGGCTAAATAAGCAAGGTGAGACTGCACAGCCAGCTCATCTGGGATCAGGGAAATACCGTGATGAGCTTGGGATACTGGACAGCTGGAGAAAAAGACACACGGAGCTTAGGAGTAGCGCGTGCGGTGAGAGGCTGAGTTATCTGGGGGGCCGGCTGGCGCATGGGCTCCTTCTCTGTCATATCTGCAGTACCTGGAAGAGTCTCTGCTACAAACACATCTCTGTGGACTGAAGAAGTAATACGTGGGTGGATGCTGTGGTCAAGGCGACGAGTACAGAAGGCAAAACGATACTTCAAGATTAAAGACCTGAGGAACCTGGGTCCATGCTGGGGGTGTCCCCTCGGCCTGGGCTAACCTGTCCTCTCTCCTGGCTGAAGTCTGCTCATCTCTCCGGGCTCAGCGCAAGCATCAGCTCTTCTGTGACGACGTTCTGGACCCCCAGATGGAATTGTTCCTTTGGTCCTTGGGACCCCTGAAGGGTTTGGCACCCTCTCTACATTAGTGCATTGCACCATTATACCACCCCCTTGTATATTATATATACTATAGTCAGCTATAGGTTACATATATTATAGTCACCTATGTGTTTTACACATTACAGTCATTTATATGTTATATATACGATAGTCACCTGTATGTTATATATATTATGGCCACTTATATATATTAGTCACCTATATCACCTATATAATATATAGTCACCTATATGTTATTTACATTATAGTCTCCTATGTTATACTAGTCATTTATATGTTATATATGATAGTCACTTATATATTATATATTATAGTCACTTCTATGTTATCTACATGACAGTCACCTGTATGTTATATATACGACCTGTGTGTTACATATAAGATAGTCACCTCTATGTTATATATGAGACAGTCACCTATATGTTATAGATAAGATAGTCACCTGTCCACTACATACATGAAGTCACCTGTATGTTACATACATGAAGTCACATGTATGTTACATATAAGAAGTCACCTGTGTGTTACACACATGACAATCATCTATACAATGCAGGCTCTGAGCTGTCTCCCCACTGGCCTGACAGTGTTCGTTGTGGTGTCACTGTCACCTCTGACAGAACGGGGTGCAGTGTTGACATTCAATGCATTTTTTGAATGAATGAACACATGAACGAAATGGAAGGAAACTCAGCTGAAGGGAACTTTGGGATGCAGAGGAGGAATAGGAAGGAAGACACATGTAGGCTCTGGGAGGAGATTAGATACGCAGTGAGGACCGGTGAACACTCCTTTGACACTTCCTGTGGAGAGGCTGCCTCTTTGAGGGTGGTCTGCCATTCCCGGTGTCTTAGTTAAGACTATAAGGGGTAAAAAAAAGTAAACAGAATCTACACTGAGCAACTGATGCTGGAAAGGGTGCCGCCCCATAAAAATAAGGCAGAAAAAAAAATCATTACAGCAAATTCCAAACCCTTCTCTCTGCAGAGGTGGGCAGTGCTGGGCCCGGGTCGGCAGAGGATCCGCACGGCCTCTGTGTGCTCTGCTGGCAGCCACGTTTAGCCACAGAGCGCCCTCCACGTGCACGCCGCGCTGCCTGGGGGGCGGCTGTGAGAGCACCCGCAGCTCAGGTGCTGCAGGAGGCCTTGGGAAACCGGCGATTCCCCGTTCTCCCACCTGCGACCAGGTTCTGCGCTTGCTGGAGGCTGGCCCGCCGTGGAGGGGATGGGGCTGAGGCGGGCAGCAGTGGGAGAGGAGCCCGGCTGTGCGGACCCCCCCTTACCTCAGCAGTCCTGCACTTTTGCCTTGTGCTCTCGCCTGTGAGTAGAGGGCTCGGCCCGCAGATTTCTCCCTAATGGAGCTGGTAAACGTCATGCCGTTCACAGTCCTGAAAATGACAGAGGGCCCATGCTTGGTCCAAATGGTAGTCTTAGCACCACAAGCAAACATCAGTGGTGTGGCCATTGTGGAAAGCAGTACAGAGATTCCTTAAAAATCTGAAAATAGCTTTACCCTATGATCCAGCCGTCCCACGCCCGGGCACATACCCAGTAGGTGACTCTGCGCGGCTCCACATGCACTTGTGTGTGGTTCCCCCTAAGCCAGGGCAGCGCCATGTATTTTTCTCTCCCCAAGTAAGTGGGAGGTTGTTACCATAGAGACAGGCTGAAGTTGACTTTAATTTATTAGAGAAGAAAAGCAAATCCTTCACAAATTCTGTTCCTTTGAACAGAAACAAATGCCAGGGACCCATGCACATGATGATTCTTCTTTTCCTTAAATGGAGGCACTGGGGATTGAACCCAGGACCTCGTGCCTGCTAAGCACATGCTCTACGACTGAGCTACACCCCTCCCCCGCAAGATGGCTCTTGATACGCAGTGGGTCCACAGCTCTGAAAGTGAGAACCCTTGGAGCAGTTGACCATCATGGTCCCTTCAAGGTATGAGGGGCTTAATTCTGTGAGTAGAGCATATCCAGCTTCTGGTTCTACAGAGGAGTTACTCACATGGAGAAGTTGGAGATGAAGGCTCCTTTGGGAATCTGAACATCAAACACGACACTCTGAGGCTGTGGGGAGTGGTTCACCACTTTGGCCTGGATGACGGTGTTGGCCATCCGAGAAGTAATAGTAGACTGGACTTTATAGCTAGAAAGGGTGACTTGATCCACATCACCCTGTAATTGGCAAGAAAATACAACTGTACTCGAAAGAAAATTACACAGAGCCTCACTATGTATTTGGTGTTAACAGCGGTCCGTGTTATTACAAACAGTTCTAAGGCATTGGTCAGCACACAACTCAGGTGTTATTAAGCATCCTCCTAACTTTTGGGAAGACCCCGCAGGCAGAAGTCTGCCTCTGTTGTGAGATATCCTGAGATGTCTTTCAGCTCTGTAAGTCTATAAATCATGATTTGAAAAATTAGAATACAAGGGGGAAAAATGGTTCTGGGGAGGCAAGATCGGATTACGTAAGTGCAGGAAATAACTTCAAAATGCCGCAGCAGAGGAAAGGAAAGGATGCGGGGTTACAGTGTTGGAAGGGGACCTGGGCTGTATCTTCAGAGTGGGGCACTGCCTGGGGCACGGTGGGGTGGTCCCCAAAGTCCCAAACTGGGACCTACTTTCTTCAATCTTATCTATTGTAATTTCATCTTCTCCCAGTCCTCTTCTCCTTCCCAAATTAAAACAAAATATGAGGGGGTGGGAGTATAGCTCAGTGGTAGAGCGTATGCTTAGCATGCACAAGGTCCTGGGTTCAATCTCCAGTACCTCTATTAAAAAAAAATCTAAAAACAAAATACGGGAATTCTCACGGGTTTGAGCTACAGTCCGACACTCTGGAACTCCTTCCTCGGTCCCTCTCTACTGATTTAAGGCAGCTCCAGTATCCATGTGCTCAAAGACAAAGTACTACTAAAAACACGCATCTTTTGGGAGGTGCCTCTAGAGGGTAAGATTCTTCAAGGTTCTGGCAATTACACGACCCACTAGGTTTTACTTTTTCCTCTGAAAGGTTTGGTTTATTTCCATACTGGGTGTCCTTTCCCCAGACTTTGTCATCCAAGAGTAAACCTTTCAACTTGTTAACATGCACTGGGGATTGAACCCAGGACATTGTGCACGCCAAGCACACACTCTCCTGCTGAGCTGTACCCACCACGCCTTTAGGGGTCCTATTTTAAATCAGAACTGTTACACTGGAGTAAATACACATGCTTGGATGAAACCTACGCTGTCTGGCAAAACTTGAGAAAATGAAGAGGAGGGCCCTTTCCAGCTCGTGGGGACATCGCTCCCGCTGTGCGCACACTGCACTCTGTCATGCTGAATTTTAGGCACGCTTCCAAACAGAATTGGGCAAGGGGGCTGTTTCGTAAGGCAGGTAAATGCTCTCAGTGATGAAGATGAAGGAGGCCACTGTATCGATTTCTCAATAATAGGTAACAGAAAAGTCATTCAAACATCAATTTTTAACAAAATCAAAGTCAACTTACCACCATTTCTCCAGGTTCTCCAGAAACACTTCTCTGTGAAAGGAAATTGGAGAATCAGTCTTCAAAAGTGCATTGCTTATTACCTTGAGGGAAAAAACTGCTTTCTCTCAGTCAAAAAAGATTTTTTTTCTTCCATACTGAGCAGTAAACTCATTTACTGGAGCCAAGACCTAAATATCAAATAGTCCTGAATACTACTTTCTGGCTTGTTTCTGTGAACAGATGTCTCAGCCCCTTTGCAGTGGCATGTCCATCATCCTTTGATTCAATGCTTAAATATGAGCTTTTAATTTTTTTGGAAGTGGCAGGGGAGTAATTAGGTTATTTATTTATTTTTTTACTGGAGGTACTGGGGATTGAACCCAGGACCTTGTGTATGCTAAGCACGTGCTGTACCACTGAGCTGTACCCACCCACCTCAAAACAAGTATTTTTACGGATGGGGGTTATAGCTCAGTGGTAAAGCGTGTGCTTGGCATGGGTTCTGGGTTCAATCAATCCCCAGTGCCTTTGTTAAGGGGAAAAAAATTTTTTTAATTAAAAAAACCCAAATTTTTAAATAGGGTGATTTAATTTAATTTAATTTTTTAGGAGGGAGGAAATTAGGTTTACTTATGTATTTAATTTTAGAGGAGGTGTTGGGGATTGAACCCAGGACCTTGTGCATGCTAAGCATGCCCTCTACCACTTGAGCTATACCCTCCCTCCAAAACCAAATGTTTTTAAATGAAAATACTCAACCAAACTCATGCTGAGTGGCATATATCACCTTTGTTCTACTTGACTGAGTGTTTTCATAGCAGCAAGACAGTGGGAACGCACGTCTGTTTCTTTCATTAGATGAAGCTACGTGGGGACAGAGACGTGAACGAATCTCCTCGTTGGTGTAGCCCCGAGGCAGGTGCGGTGACGGCAGGTGGAAAATTCTGTACTCTAACCCCTGTGCTCTGGAATTAGCCACATGAATGACTGTCCTGGGGGCATGGAAAGCTGACTGCCTTTTGAGTGATGGGTGGACATTTAATGTCTGATGGACTTTTAAAGAATAATGCAAGAATTGGTTATAAGCTTAGCTTGTCTGATTTGGGGTGAACTGAAATGTTAGGGGGTGTTTTGCAGCCTAGTGAGGCCAGCAGTTGCCTCCTTTTGGGCTTTTTAAATGCCGTTCTCAACGACTAAGTTTCCTCTTTCAGCGGGAGACCCTGACATGAGGGCTTGCCGATTGGGTTTTAACATCATCAGTCCACAAAACACATGGACTTGTAGCAGGTCAAATTCATCCCCACATAAAACATGTCATAGGTCAGCTTAGCGTTGCTTCCACAAATACCTCTTTTTTTTTTTTTTAGCACATGGGCTCTACGTGGGAGAAGCCCCCTAGAGAACTCATCTCTGTGAGTTAGAAGATTTTGTCTGTGATGCTGCTGGTCTCTGGGATGCAGCTACCAGCGCAGCCTGGTCCCCTGTGTTCTGTGAGCTACTCCCCAGACAGTAGTGACCAGCGGGGGAGGATATACGCCTGTAGTAAGAGGCGTCTGCCACCGCTGGGGTGAGAAATGTCCTCCTAAGGAGTAATTCCTCCCTACAAGGCAGTAAAACCATCCCATAATCTTAAACTTCGAAGAAAACACGTAGCCATGTGTTCTTTAAGGGACCAAGGTGACCCTTACAGTGTGGAGGCTAACAGACAGCTGCGTGGAGGTTTCACTTTATTTCACCTTGACCGTGATTCCCCCTGGATGTAATGCCATTGCACTAAGATACAAGCTCTTGAGAAAATCTAGCAAAATGCATCTCAGTCCTTTTCTTCTGTCTTCAGTCATGATCTCGTTGACTTAGTTTCCCTTTTGGAACCGATGTACCTGAACTTACTGTACCTGATGCCGACGGGTTTCCAGCGCAACTTGAAATTCGCCTGGGGCCACTTCCACAAGCTCTCCATACTCTGCAAACTTAAAAAAGAATTTAGGATGTTTACTTCGATTAACAAAAAAGAAGCAGTTGCTGACAGGTATACCGTATTCAATGTATGATTTTGTCTGATTTTTCCATATCTCTGGGCAAACTCATTTTTTAATATGATGATTTCTTTAATATATTTGTTTGCTAGTTATGTCTCAGAGGTGAGGAAACGGAAGTTAATATCTTCAAATTTGTTGCATGCAGGAGTTCATTTTTGAGTTTGCCTGAAGACAGTTAGGCATCCAGTTAACAGGTACAGGGGTTACAGAAACCCAGGGACCAAGCAGGTGCGGGGTGAGCACGGGGTAGATCTTGGGGGCCTCGGCGGTGTCTAAGCAGACAAACGCGAACCTTTACCCATCCAGTTACAATTGTTGATTCAGAAGGGAATACCAGTTAGTGCCTGAAAAAGCACAAACACATTTGGATGTCTTGGCTTCAATTCCTGGCTCCGCCAGGGAGATTTCCAACACACTCTGGTGGTTTTTAAAGTGTCGGAAAATACGATAGTTTCTAAGCAGACAGAGCAATTTTTTTTCCCTTGCAAATATGCCATCCTGCTCTTTGGCATTTTTGTAGGCAATCCACGCTGCATCACAAGCTGCTGCGTCTCCCAGGATATTCCCATAACACAGGCTGCTCCTCCGGCAGCAAAATAGCTCTTGTGTGATTTTCAGGATGACTCAATTCAAGACTCTCGTTACCCTGAGGAGGCCCAAGGGTCTGAAGCAGTGACCTCGAGCTCCCAGGGAGTAACTCCTGCACTCTGCCAGCCCACTTGCCCAATCTCCCTCCTTTAAAAAAAAATTTGCATTCTTTTTTATTGAAGTCTAGTCAGTTTACAACGTTGTGTCAATTTCTGGTGCACAGCACAATGTCCCAGTCATACATATACAGACATACACTCGTTGTCATATTCTTTTTCATTAAAGGTTATCACAAGATATTGAATATAGTTCCTTGTGTTATACAGTATAAACTTGTTGTTTATCTATTTGATATACAGTAGTTAGCATCTGCAAATCTCGAACTCCCAATTTATCCCTTTCCAACCCCGCTACCCTCCCTTTAACAGAGATGTTTAAAGTGCCCTTAATTTGGAAATCATTGTTCACTTAGGTGTGAAAAACAACAGTGCTTTGAAAATGGCTTTTCCTGCACTCTTGTAAGTTCATAACAATAGCCGTGCAGCTAGTGATTATGAGTCCCTCCTGGGGCTTGCACTGTGCTAGGTAGTTTACATATGTCACTTGATTCTTGCAGCAAAACTTTTTGGGTTAGTTCAATTATTATCCCCATTCTTCAGATAAGGAGGGACTGGCTGTCCTCCATACCTGCCACCCTACGGGGCCAGACCATGGATTTGATTCTCATGCAGAATCCATTAATGCTTTAAAGTATAAATACATGTTCCAGTAACTATAACAATGAGCACTTCTTTCTGGGGGAGGGAAGGTAATTAGGTGTGTTTATATTTTAATGGAGATACTGGGGGCCCCAGGGACCCCAGGACCCTGAGCCAACCCCCTCCCACCGTTAACAGTGAACACTTCTACTCAGATGAATTTTATCACGAATGTACAAGCAACAGGCAATTTACTAAGTGAACGTACAGGTCTGATGGCAAGGAGTCTTCAGGAAGTACTTACTTCTGAAAGTCCATTGGTGGGGATTTCGAAGCCTCGTGCTTCAGAGAGAAGGAACCAGACCAGGAAGCACGTGAGTCCCTTCATGGTGCCGGGCGGCCGCGCCCAGCGCTCCCGGGCAGGGTCTGGGGAGAATCCCACCGCTCACTGACCCACGTTCGGGGGACAGAGCCGGACAGCTGGCTTTTAAAAAGCAGAAAAGAGAAGACGAGAGCTCTCAAACTTTGTTCCAAAACCAGACAAATATTTGTCCTGGAGTTCAAACTGAAGCTGCAGGGGTGGATCAGACGCCCAGAGGTTATTCAAACAGCAGACCCGGAGGCATCACCGGGCGGTGAGAGCAAGTTCGGGGCGGATGGGTGGGCCATGCTTTCTTCGTACCTCCCCCACCGCCCCCACTTTGGCTGATTCCTGTTCATCTGAAAATCAGAGAGACCTAAAGATCAGTGCCACCTGCTCTGAAAGACCAGGTGAGGAACTTTACTGAGAGATCGAGTCAGAGAGAGAAAAGCTAAAGTTGACAAGTCGCTGGGAACAACATCCTTTGGTTTCAGTGAAAACAGGAGGAATTTAGGAAAAGTGGGAGAAAAAAAACCCCATGGTTTTCGGCTCAAAGCGTTTGTTGGCAGAGTTTTCCCCTCTCCCTTTGATAACTGAGAAGCCTATTCTATAAAAGAACTGGGCAAGCAGCAGGTGTGGGTGGTCAGCCTCACTTAGGTCAGTGGAAGATCAATTCTCTCCAGTCCCAGAATCAGGAAAAGCCCAGCCTCGCCCCCACTTACCGTTCGTGGTCGTGAATCCTAATTACAATGTCAAAGGATTCATTGAGCCCTCCCTGATGTCAGGCAATTTTACTTGCATGACTTTCATTCTTTTTTTTTAACTATAAAAGGGCCACACGAGGTGCATACTACGTTTATCTTCATTCGCCATCAAGGAGGATAAGGTTAAGTAACTGATTTCCCATCTCGCAGGTGGCAAGTGGAGACTCCCTTCAAGGTCAGCCTGATATCAAAGCCTTTGCACCCAGTGACCACGTCCAGGAGAGGAAACCAGTGGTCCATCTCTGGGATGGTGTAACAGGTGTGAATTCAGACCAGTTTATACCTGCAGTCTCCACGCTGGGCGACCAGTCTATCTGGCAAGACTTTTCCTTGAGCCTCAACTCCAGACACCTGCTTGCACTGGGTCGTGCTGTGGACCCAGTGTGGTCAGCTCTCTGGCAGTTTCCTTCCCCAGGATGGAGCTGTGGCCTCCTGCCCGAGGTTCCCTGGTCTGGGAGCTGGTCAAGGACCTGTGGCTGAAACCTCTACCCTCTAAAGGTTCACTCACACAGGGGAACTTGCACCCGCATGAAAACAAGAAGTCTGCTATGACCTTTGAAGCCTGGTGATGTAAGGCTGTTTCCACCAGATCCATGCTGTCTAAGCTAGTTTCCCTGCATCTTAGACACTCGGTGTGAGGTCCACACTGACCCCAGGACAAATAGGTCAGTTCTCTGAAACTGCCTTCTGATTTTGTTTAAAGGGAAATCGTTTTAAGTTTATCCCCAAAATAACGCAAGTGAAAAGAGAAAAGCAAAAACAACGCCAAAAAAGATAAACTGACATATTAAAATATTCAGGATGATCTTTTAAAAACCGCAATTTTGTTACATCTAAGCACATACCCAAAATAGTGTTGGTTCAAATGTAGTATAAGATGCAAATAGATTAAATTTGTCTGTAAGATTATGATGATTTTTAAAAAATGCTCGACCATACGCTTTCTCTAAGAATCACACTTTATCTCTAAGAGAAAAAAAAAGACTGAATGTTGAGCATTAAAATCTATCTCATTTATTCCAAAACTTGGAAACGGCAGTTACGAGGATGGAATCAGGTTAAAAGAGATGCCATAGCCAATCACAATAAAAAGAAAGTCAGGAGAGAGAATTAAATCTAAGACTATGAACTGTGTGCCCACTGTTGTGAAGTACCTCTCCAGAACTTGTTCATCTTGCAAAACTAAAACCCTGTCCTCACTGAACAGTAACTCCCCTCTCTTCCTCCCCAGAAACCATTACTCTCCTTTCGACTTTCTGTGTCTGTGTGATTACTTTAGACACCTCACGTACGTGGAACTACATGTGTCCTTTTGTGATTGGCTTATTTCACTTCGCATCATGTCCTCACAGTTTAGCCCTGCTGCAGCCTGTGTCAGGATTTCCTTCTTTTTTTTTTTTTTCTAAAGGCTGAATGTAACAGCCTGTGGTTATGTATATACCACACTTCACCCATTCATCCTGCCATGGACACTTAGGTTGCTTCCACTAAGCGTGTATGTTTTTAAAGTTTTCTCTGGAATCTTTCATAATTAAACAATTAAAAAGAAATCCAAAAAGCAAAAAAAAATCAGTTTCAAATCAGTTAAAATTATTCTCAGCAACGAATAACGGTAAACTTGGCGGAGTAAAGAAAATGCCTTGTTTGACATGCCCCCCCATTTTGTTTAAATAAAATAAAGATCTAAGCTAAACTGGTACATCTGTTAGTTGGTGGTAGAGCAGCGTTTGCTGCAAATGAAGGTGGCTTGGGGTCGGAGTGTCTATGATGATTTGGTTTTGTTACCCAAATGCTTGGTCTCAGCTACGAGTAAACGTGGTGAGCGTTTCTGGGGACATGCCAGCTGGTACCGATTGCATTTCCTCTCCCTTCCCACTTCCATTCCACTCATTCATTTTCTGCAACCTTAGCGATGTCTTCTAGAGGACTTCTTGGCTGCCGTTTCTGAATCCAGAATGCTCACACCACGGCTGAAGCAGCATCCGAGAGCAGCTCCGAAGCTGATACCCCTGATCCCAAGTCCCTCCTCTCTTTCTCCAGAGGATCCAGCCAAGACTGATTTTCACGGTAGTCCAGGCTCTCAGCCAGCAACTCTCTTTTCAGCCTGGTCTCCCAAACTCCTTCAAGCACCTTACACACCTTGAAGCCAGACCATCTGTTCACCCTCAAACCTTTCAGTCAAGGGCTTTCCCCAACACAGTTCCCTCTGCCTGGAGTCGCCACCTTTTCCTCCAATGCTGATCTATGAAAATCCTGTCCATCTTTCCAAGCCCACCAACATTTGCAGATTCCTCTGGTGACATCCATCACTCGTGTCATTTGGGGGCAGAGCTGCAGATCCCTCTGGTGACATCCATCACTTGTGTCATTTAGGGGCAGAGCTGCAACCCACCACTCCAGCTCCACAGCAAGCTGGGTTAGAGGTCTTGCTAAACTTTCTCAGATGCAGAGACGGCACATCCCTTCACCCAACTCTCTTCATAGACAGCCCACCACGTGCCCGGCGCCCGGCGCCGCACTCAGCAGAGCCTTTGAACATAACTGGCACCTAAGTATTAACACCGACTTGAATGGATCAGTGTCGGGAGGGGGCCTGGGCACAAGAGTAGTAATCCTTTCCTCCCGTACACTGTACTTTTCAAAATATTTTCCTATCGTGTTATTTAGCTCTCAATATTCCAAATAACGACAATTAAGACCTTACAGCATGTTCTTCAAAGCTAAGCATGATTTCCAAAATCCGGGCCCCTTCCTTCGATCACTGCAGCTCCGGTGACTGCAATCTGATACTCGGAATGACCTCAGGACAAGTCAAACTAAGCGCAGCCAGGGTCACTCTCCTCTTTTTCTGCTGATAGCCTATCTGCAGGTTCCAAGGTCTTGGGAATAAAACACCACGTTTGATCTCTCTGGATGTTCAGAAGCACCAGGCTCCCGATCCGGGCAGGCGTGTATTCAGAGCCCTGGGCCCCGCACCTGGGGCCCTTCCACCAGCCTCTGGCCTGGGCAGCGGGAACTGGTGAACGGAAAGTAACCTCGGTTACCTATGCGCTCCCGATTCATAGCATGGAAATCAGCACCGCAAATGCCGCGAGAACATTCACGCTCACAGCCGTGAGGATCAGTAGGAAATCGAAGAGGGGAAAAAATCAGTGTACTTTATAATGTTCAAATCAAAGAATAACTCACCTAGGGCTCAATGAGAATTCGCAGGACTATCAATGGACTTGAGATTCCTGGCTCTGAGTGTACATCATGGTGGCTTAGTTAACGGTGTGGTGAGAACTACTGCACGTTTATAAAACCCAGCTCTAGGTCTGTCATTGCGAAAGAGCAGGTTTTTAAGAATCCAAAGTCAAAGGTGAACTAACTTACAAACAGCTGTATCTGACTCTTATCAGCTTGTTTTAGTTCAGATGGGGCTCAAAATGGAGCAGGTCTGTTTCCTCCACAGATTTCCTTCCCTTCCCTTCACTTCCCTTTGCTCCCCTTCCTTCCTTCCTTCCTTCCTTCCTTCCTTCCTTCCTTCTTTCTTTCTTTCCTCCTTCCTTCCTTCCTTTTTTCATTGTTTTCTACACTGTATTCTTTCCTACTTCCCTTTTTTAAAAATCAAAGTCTAGTTGATCACCACTGGGTTACCTCAATTTCCAGAAAGGAAAACATTTAAACTCTATAAATTATAGGTTGGAGAGCTCGAAGCTGACTTTATTTTGGAAAAAATAGGTATGAATGAATGAAACTATTCAAAAGACGGTTTGAGAGCTCTTGAAAAGGACGCACTTTGGCAAAGTCGTGTGTGCGGGAAGAGGTCTGAGGACTGAGGCTCGCGAGAGTCTGTGGGACAGGCATCAAGGGGGAGGCACAGGGTGACGAGGAGCCCCCGTGGGGCTGCGGGCTGGGTGGGCCATCCTGGGCTCTGACTCCTAGGAGGGTGCGTGCACAGGAGGCAGGAGCCTGAAAACCACGGGAAGCTGAGAGAGTGCTGGGAAGACATCCTCAAGGGTCAGGAGGCAGGAGGAGCAATACTGTGTGTGCTGACGTTGGCTCGGGTCCAAACCAGAGATGTGGATCCAAGCCTAGTCAGGCAGTTAGAGGGGGACCAATTTGTCAGCAGAGCCAGGGGCTGGTCACACACACATAATAATCCATTAACATGCCGAATTCTTCCCCTTGATTTGTGAGCTTGTGAACGGCAAAGGGCAATTTACTGCCTAAAGGATCAGTGATTATGCAGTGCTCAACTGAACTAATTTCACTTCTTTTTAGCGCCGTGTTTCTAGACTGGAGACCCAGATACCTTACAGGCACGGATTGATTCTAATGTGCTCATCATGGATGAGGTGGAAAATGAGAAGGGAATGGGTGTTCAATTGCTTAATTACAGAATGCGTTGTC